GCTGAATGGAAGTGTCTGCCAGCCCTGCGCAACACCCTCCCCCTCCCCAAAGAACTACAGCTCCCAGCGGCTCCCAGCGCTCCCAGCTCCCAGCGGCTCCCATTCCCTGGCTCCCAGTGCCCCCCACGGGCTCCCCGAGTGCTCCCGGCTGCAGCTCCAGCACGTCCCAGTGCTCCCGCACCACCAGCTCCCAGTGCCACCCGGTGCCAGCAGCGCAGGAGAGAGCCGGGCTGCTGGAGCGAGCGCGGGGACGGCCACGCGGAGGATGGAGGGGCTGGGTCCCCTGTGCTGCGGGAGCGGGAGCAGCACAAAGGTGCCGGGGGCAAGTGCCACCGCGCTCACAGCCCTGAAGTGGCCTCAGCGTCCCCAAAATCCAGCGCTCCACAGCGCTGCCGAACCCCGGAGCTTGTGCTGTGCTCTGGATTTTCCCTGCTCCTCATCCACATGTTCCCTTCCCGCGATTTAATCTGCTTACGCCTCCTAATACGCCTGTGTGCCACGCGGGCTAATCCCTCCTGCTGGCTGGGAATTAATTCCCTGTGGGACTCAGAGGGCTGGGATGTCACCTCCAGCCAGGACAGGAGCCTGGAGGCGACGGGAGCGCCCACAAACGGGTGCCGGGGCAGGAGAGCCAAGGCGGGAGGCGAGTGCCGGCCGATCCCAACCTGCCTCTGCTCTGCACCGGCAACGGGACCGGTTTCTCCGGCTTTGTGGGCCCCTTGTTTCCCATTGCCCCGCGGCTGCTTCCCTGGGCTCAGCCCAGCGGAGGGGGGTTCTGCCATCATGGTCAGTGTGACACACGGACAGGACGGGGGACCCGGGGTCTCGGTCACTACGCTTGGGCACAGAAAGGGCTCCCAAGGAGCCCTGGCTCTAGAAGATGGGAGGATTGAGGAGGATTGAGGAGGTGACAGGGAAAGCCGGGAGGTGTCAACACCCTGGCGACAGCCGGGGTGGCGCTGGGATAACTGGGGCACCCGCAGGGAGGGGAGCGGCCTGGTGGGGCCGGGAAGAGCTGAGCTGATCCCTGAGGAGGAGGAGGAGGAAGGAGGGCACATGGAGCCCCGGGCTGGATGTGGGGGTGTCAGGTGAGAACAAGGCGGAAGGCGGGGGGGGCAGCAGGAGCTGGAGGAAAAAGGGCCAATTTTGGGTCCGTTCCGCTCCGCGCGCCCCCGCGGGGCCCCCAGCCCTGGGGAACCCC